GGAGGGAAATCTCACCTACTACTCCTCATCATGGACCAATGATGAAAGGCTACAGTAGCATGGTAGCATTTCAACTGAACGGTGAGGACTATCTTGCAGTAATTGGAGGATATGGACCAACTTCTAACAATACACCCACACAACCTGATACTCAGTATCAACTAACAGGATCTGGTTTTAATCGAACAAATGAGATTCATTATTATAAACTATCATCTGGTTAGTATAAATGAGAGATTTCAGTTTACTAGTAATCTAGTTCATCACTAGTCTGGGCCTGCCCAGACTATCATGCATGTTACATGATATGTATAGACTATCATATGTTTTGTTAATGTAATGTTCAATTATTATTAGGTAAATGGAGTTCACCTAATGTTACTGGAGACAGACCACCTCCTATCAGTTTCTTTACTTTAACATCAATTACTAACAATTGTGCCATATTGTTTGGTGGGTTTACTCCTGATGGATCCAGTAACAATACTTATATTGTTAATTTTAGCCAAACATCAGTAGTAAGTGTATTATTAGTAATAATGTAGTGTTATACTATTATTGATTCTAATGTTATCATTTATGTGTATTGTTTTTATTGTTTAGATTTTTTCTAATCTTGGATTATCAAAACAAAAGCCTCGGAAACGATATGCTCATTCCAGTGTATTTATTAATAGTAACTTAGGACCACACCTACTAGTGGTGGGTGGATATTCTAAAGATGATTGCTGGTTACTTGATATTAATAAAAGGAGATGGAAACGACTAGTAAGTATTATGATGCTGTATATTTGATAATTGGTCATTTTGGAGGAGTTAAATTTTGCCAAATTTGGCATTTTAATAGCCATTCACCAAATTAAAGATCCATTATTTGTACCATTACGTGCATGCCTCAATGGCACATGGTCACAAATTCATGAAATTAAAACCTGGTAATCACCAAAGTTTTAGCAATTCACCAAAGTATCTCCCCCTCCAAAATTACCCTTATACGGTAATCAAAGTTGCCTGTGATTTGTCATTACATGAGCATGCTATATAACGCTTTATTTTGGTGGCGCTTTATTTTCGCGATTTTGCTGTAAAATTGTAATTGGCAGTTTTTAATTTGGCAATTTTTTGTGTACACATGCATTACTGAGCATGTGCATTAACGATTGGCGGTTTTAATATTGGCGATTCTGCTTCCAAACCAGCAATCGCCAAAATAAAACTCCACCAAATTAAAGCACTATATGGTAGTAAAGATCATTGTTTTTATTTTGATAAACCAAGTTCTTAATATAAAACATTTTTTACTGAAATTACAATGCATGGTACATGTATGATGAATGAATATACATGTAATAATGGAGACAACTGAGTTATGATCTATTCACAAATTTTAAGCAAATAATTCTTGTCTTTATAAATGCCATTCCCCTTACAAGACTACCCATGTACCCTCCTGGATCCAATACTGTTGTTCATAAGTGTTTATGAACTGATGGTATTATTAGTCTTTTAATTCTAATAGTTGAATTTACCAGAAAGAGTCACTGAGAGGTGGCGTCATTCTATGTCAGTGTGGAGTATAACACCAACCATTGACTGGATAATTGTGTTTGGAGGAGATTCAGAATACAAAGATACAGCAGTTATTGAACTCAGTAAGTACATGTAAATAATAATTTAGCAGTCATTATGCATGTCTCACTGTATTTGGGATTATCCTGAAGACTAACAATCATGTACTGCACATAGTGCTTTATTTTTGAAGAGCAAAAGTTTTGCAATTTTTGTGGATTAGCATGTAACTGCAAAATTAAATCTCTGCTAACTACCGCATACTGGTTTATTTTTGCAGTGAAATATTTTATTAAATTTTGCAGTTTCTTGCTTCATCATGAAAATTTTCCACCGCAAAATTCTGCATTTCCATTGCCATGTGGTCCAGCCTGCAAGCCATTCGCAAAAATTGAGTCCACAAAATCTCAGAAATGCAAGATTTGCGAAAATTTTTTACCTCGAAAATAAATGGTACACAGTATTCAATTACCATTAAGGGTGTGGTGCTCAGTAACATTACAATTATGTGAAAAATTTAATTTTATAAATTTGCAAAAGTTTTGTACTCAGAAAATGAATTTAGTTAGTTAATAGGCCTTAAAATAAATAATGCACCCTTGGCCCTACAAGTGCTGTACTATGAGCACCCCAAGTGTTGGATTTTTTTCAATTTTAACACTGTTAATAATGGCTTTGTACTTGTTACTATAATCATGTATTGTATTATTGTATAGGATATAGTGATAAAGGTTGGTCTGTTAGTGAAATACCTCTGGACCAATATCAAGAGAAACTACAAGAAAGGAGAAGAGAATGGGAAGCATCTCAACCTGTCCAACCTCGTCATCATCAAAACAAGGAAAGAGAAATAAAACTACCAACTCAACAGCCACAAGAAAAAGGAAGGGAACTCCAGGAGGACAGAAGAGAAATAGATCGTCTGACACGTGTACTGCAAGAAAGGGAAAGGGAACTACAGGAGGAGAGAAGAGAAAAGGAACGAGTTAGAACCAGACTACAGGAACAACTTGAATCAAGAGAGAGGGAATCTCAAATAAGAGAGCAACAGCTTCAAAGGGAAATAGAAAGAGCTC